CCCCGGGGAGGGCCCGGCCCGGCGGGGTGCTCTGTTTGCGCGGCCGGGAGCACCGGAGGGGAAGGGGAACGGGGCGAGGGGAGCTGGGCCCGCCCGTGCTGTGTTGAAATGGGCGCTTGCTGCGAGGCGGGGCTTTCCGTCGCAGGTTTCTCAGGCCAGAGCAGCCCAGAGGTCTGTCACTGCGGCGCTAGGTAACAGTACCCTGGGGGGAATACGCTGTGAAGAGAACACCTCGGCTATCACGAGAAAGCGTTGATTAAAGGCTTTTTTCCTAACATCACATGTGCTGGCTGTTTGCATCTGGGGATAAAAGTGCCCACCATGTTGGTGTGTGGCATGGATGTGTTTTTCCCCCTCTTGCAGGGCTCTCCGACGCAGCCCTTAGCGCAGAAGGCAGGGTTCTTGTTCAAACTAGGCCTCCGACATGGTTTAAGCCCATTTTGGGTTTTTCTTCAGTGCAATGAAGAAGCACTGGCAGGCCAAGTAGGTGATGGAGGAAGAACCATTGCGGGACCGCTTTGTGAATCACACCAGGTTTTTCTGTGATTAATTGAAATTAGTCTGAGTTGTTCTGTTCTAGAAAGTGCTGCTGCCAAGAGGTTACCCTCTCGGGCCAGCACAGGCAGTCGTGTTGCTGCCCAGCAAACCAGGAATAAAGGGTGAAGGATTTCAGCCTAGTCAGCATCCCTGGCTGGTCTGCTGCACAGAGACTTGTGCCTGTGCAGTAGAGGGGTGGCGAGACAGGACTTGCACATCAGAGAAGGGGCAAGACTTGTGTTCAGTGAGAGCATTAGTTAAATGTTAGTTCAAATGTTGCAAAGTTGCCTTTAAATGTGAATATCGACTGCATGATTACTGCTGAAGTACCATGGGGATTTGTGTTGTCCTTAGTGCTGTGCAGCAGGGTTACAAAGTAGTAGTCCTTAAGATTTCCAGCTGTGGGAGGGTGTCTTTGCATTTTAAGAACTTGCTTCCAACATATCTTTAGAGTGAAGAACAGAGATACGGTGAAGGGGGAAAGATGAAATTTTCAAGTGTCCTAAGCATATTTTTCTATTTATACACGTGCTTTCTTTAAACTGGGTTATAAACAACATCTTCAGAGTCACGTGGCAAGTCCACAGCACAGCCAGGAATAATATTCAGGTCTCCCAGCTGCTGGTCCCGCAAGTTCCCCACAATGTTTTCACATTTAGAAATCTTAGTCTCACGGCATGCAAAAAGGTTAAGCAGTCTCAATACTCTTCTAACAGTTGTCTGTTGTCTTTTTTTTTTTTTTCTCCGTATCTTCCTCCTCAGAGCCTTCTGTTACAAACACTTTCCCCCACACATCAAGGTCTCAGTGGAGTCCTGGTGAAACAACGCATAATTCAAGATCCAGTCAGGCTTTGCAATCTCTTAGGTGAGTCCCAAAGAGCAACTGTACAGGCGGAGGAGGGGAAAGGGTCTTATATAGTAAAAATATTCACTTTTCCTTACCTTCACTGCCTGTGTTCCTGAAACTGAAATAAAGCTGCTCTGTTCTTGGCTTTGGGAGCTGTGTGCCTTTTACAGGGGTTCTGAGATTTTGTTTGGTGACAGGGATGAACAATGACACCTTTCCACAAGGAGCTCAGCGTGATTAAGTAAGCACTTGAGTCATTAGACCTAGAAGCTAATTTAAAAACTGCAGACTTTAAAGTAGAGAATCTTTCTCTGCCTCATTAGCAAAGCCTAAGAAGGAAATGTCATTCACCTTTGTCAGAAATCACATCGTATGACCTTGCTGAAAGCCTTGCACTGGAACAAGCTAAATGTGTATGTTAGAAAATGTTACCCAAATTCTTAGAGCAAAAGCACAGAAAGGTGAAACAAAGGCAATTCTTTTTCTTGCTACCCTCTTCAATTTGGAAAGACAAGTTTGCCAATGCCTTTGAGATTTGAACCAAACTGGTCGCAGCTATCTGGCCAGTGTGGGCCTGGTGAGCTTGGGCTGCTTTACCGTTAAGAGGATTGGGGTTTTTTAAGTTAAAATAAAAATATATGGATACCTTTCAAGTGGCAGTGCATCCTCTAGTAGAACTAGCAGTGGACAAGCAGTCCAGTTTCTGGGCTTACTCCTCTTTCTGGAGCCTTCATGAAAGACCACGGGAAATAACGGAAGCTGCTGTCCTCGAGTCAGTTGTCTTGCTTCTGAACTTTTTCCTGGTGGAAAAAGACATTGGTTGCTTTTTTTTTTTTTTTTTTTTTTTTAGCAGCAACTGTGACTCCTCCTGTTTGTAGCCTTACTTTCTTGGCTTTTATTAGAGTATCCTAACAGCATTTACTGAGAAACTGGCATTTAACTCTAGCAGATACATTTCCTCTAATAAGCATTTACAGTCCCTAGTCTGAGCTGACTTAACTTAACTGACCATACCAGTGTTAACTGTGGGTTTATGCCTTGGGAAATATGTGCATGTTTCAGCACTGAAGAAATTTCTCCAAATAATTTTCTTTGCTCTGTTAAAATAATCTCTGAACAAAGACCTATTTTGATTGGATTGTCAAAAAATGTATATTTATATAAGGAAACCAAAGGAATCTGTCCCTCCCATTGCTCCCTCTGGCAAGGCTGTCCCATTTCCTTGGCACGCGAATGAAGCTGTGTGCTTGGGTGGATGTGGAGCTTAGCTTTCTGGGCATTTGGAGCTCCCACGTATTTCTCCCATCCTCAGTCCCCCTCTGTCACTGTCTCCTGAGGTCTTCCGGTAGTAACTACTTAACTCTGCTTGCCTGCAGGTAGCACTTACTATTTTAGTACTTCAAGCTCTCAAGGGAGTAACCAGAAGAATGGAGGATTCAAAAAGAAATCTCCACAGGAGGAAGAGGGTATGTATGTGCCAAATGGATATTTAATGAAACTGTGTGTGTGAGGGGTAAGGGTGGACAGCATGGAAGATCCACCTTAATGCTTCTCTCTCTGTGTATTGTAAACCTGTACCTGTAACCTGCCACCGCTCCAAGGCCGTGGCTAAGAACAAGTCTGAAGAGGCATTTTGGTTTAGGTGATGGAATACTAAGGCTTAAGACAGATCATGAAATGGATTCTCTTTCTGTGCTGCTGTGCATCCTGTACAAATAATCTCATTGATGTTTGCCTTAGTTTTGCCACTTTACATAGGGAAACAGTAGTATTTACCAAGTTTTGATTTGGAGGTTTTGTTGTAGCACATTTTGACTTAATAAAGAACTTAATCTAGTTAATGCAAGTTTAAGTTGCTGGGTTTTTTTCTTACTTCGTTTACCTTCATTGCAGATGTGTGTCTACTTCTAGTGATTTACAGAGCTCAAAGTTAAAAATAGATTCCTTAAAGAGTTCTTAGCTCTGTTACTAATGGCACTTGCCCAGAATTTTTTTTTTTTTTTTTTTTTTTTAAATCAGTCTTCCTAGATACTGTTTTTTGCTTGTCTTGTACTGCCTAAGCCCCAGGCATCCTGCAGTACAGGACTTGAAAATGAGTTTTATCTCACTAAATGTGTTCTGGAACCTAGGGATCTATGTGGAATGCCAGATTATGTTGAGAAGTCGAGGAGTGCCATCTCTGTACCTTGAGCTTAAGCGGGTGAGGGATTTAGTGACACTAATGGGAGGCGGAGGTGCAGGGGAATAACTTCTGTGTACTAGGCAAAAACCTCGAGTAACTTCTGGCAGGCAGCGTTATGATCCTTGTAGGAGGCACTGTTATCTTCTACCAGGAGGTTTTTGCCAAACATCTTTCAAATAGGAGTGGATTTGTGGGTGTCCCTTCAAGTCTTAGTATTGTTGTCACCTTTCTGCTGTTTGTAGATTGGCAACAGCTGCATTCCATTTAAAAAGTGTAATTTGACTCTTCCGGTTCTGTAAAGAAAATTCTTTGCTCCCTTGTGAGTACGTGCTCTTTCCCTCCAGCCTCCCAAGAACTGACGTGCATGCAAAGATTTTCTAGGCTCTGGATAAGGCATGTTTTCAGACTCTGTGATGGAGATTTTTAGCTGTGAAGTCCCACAGCTGATGGCATGTGGGGCAGTTTTAAGAACGATGTCAGGTGAAGGTCTCCTTCCTCTGTCTTCTCATTAATGCTTTCAGAAGCATAACGAAGACCTGATCGCTTTCTTTATTTTATGATATTAGTCGATGCTTGCAGAGGCTGGTGATGTCTTAAGAGCGTTTATGTGGCTATCTGTTGTGCTGCTTGTTTCCTGGACCCTTGTGCGAGGTATAAAGCTTCTGGAGATGGTGGGCTCCAGGCCTTTGTACTGTGAGTTGGCACTCAGCATCGTTTAAGCCACACAAATTGTAATATAGTTTTATAAATTATATGATAAACTTTTACCTAGGTGTCATCAGATAATGTAATAGCTTGGGTTTTCCTTGGTTGTGCTTAAAAACAATGGTAGTTGAAACTTATGGTTAAACAAAACGGTAGCTTAAACACAATCCTCTTGGGCTAACTAACTTTTGAACAAAAGCAGTCAGCTGCTGATGACTTTTAGCCTGACTTCTGTCATTGCATGCAATCTGTTTAAGGGAAGAGCAGTGGCTCCGCCTGTTTGAGCCATTTAACTGGGCTGAAGTCTTCAATGGGATGCGAGTGCAGGTATCACAGAGTCCTCATTAAGGAAGTCAGAGCTTAGAGGTCGGAGCCTTGGGTGTTTGCAAGACCACACAGGGTGACTGTGAGCACAGCGCCTTGAAGAAGTATTGTAGCTGTTAAAATTAGTAAACAGTAACGTGCCGTGTTCGGTGGCCTCTTTTTCTCCTGTGATTAATGGATAGCTTGACTTCGAGAGGTGGAATGCTACCCCATGTCTCCAGGGGAATACTCGTCTCTGCAGTAATTATTAAAAAGAACTCTTCAAACTGTCACTGCAGCCCTTGCAAGATTCTAATCAGAGAGTTCAGATTTGGGGTTAATGGCAAATCATTGCTTCATGGAGGCTTTTGGAGACTAAAAAGCTGGAAGCGTTCCCACAGCTGTTGCTTCCAAGTGTCACATCCAGTTACTGGTTCTCATTTACTGAATATTGCGGGGTAGCTTATGGTGCAGTATGAATGTTACACTGTAAAGACAGTTGTACTTTACATAAGCTTAGAAATAGATTGATTTCATCCTTAATTAAATGCAGAGTAGAAGAAAGCTTTGTGTTGTCTTCTAGCTTTCTAGAAATGGTATTTTTCCCTGAAATTATTCAGCTGTAGGCTAAAGGTCCTCGGCAAGCCTAATTCCTAGAAACCGGAGAAGCTGTTTGTGTCAAGGTAGCTAATGGCCGGGTTTTACCCTGTGGGGATGTTTTCGTGATAGTATCCTCAGTTATGTGTGCTTTAGAACATATTATGTGCCTCCTCGCTTTGTCTGAAATTGAATACAGAGAAGTGCTTCAGCAAGAGTCGACTCTGAGACCTCTAAGGAACTTGCATAGCAATAAGACGGGCTTGCTTTCTGTCGGTACACACTTTTCTAGAGTAATTTCATTTCTCTATAGATATTTTTTTATTTAGAACTTGCTCAGCTTTTCAGGATATTGCCCAGACTAAGGTCTCTATCGTACTATATTTTAATTTTCTTTTAATAAGACTGGAGTGGATGTCATCCTGCAGCTTTGTGATGAATTGCTTTGTTCTAATAAAGCTGGATCTAGCCGATAACACAGGAGTGAGGAGATGGCATTGAAGAACAAAGTGGATGGGCTGGACACAGTGTCTGAGCTTGTCACTCTCTTTTGAAATTACGACCTTATCTGAAAAGCTGCGTTGTTTCTATTTAGGAACAAGCCTTTCCTGTTAAATGTGGAGCAGAGCTGGGAAACGAGTGAAAAATGATGCTGCATATCTGAAGGACAGAGTACTTTTTTTAGCATCTGACTGGGTCATGTGTTTGTCCCTTGGTTTTGTTGCAGTGTGTGTAGGGTCTAATTGGTGGCTAGTGATAAATGCTAGTGTCAGAACGTTTGTTATGAATTTGCAAATAAATCTAATCTGGGCTGCAGCAGGCAGATGCACTAGCAGTCCAGTGGCGCGGAATTAATTTATTTCTGGGTGTTGAATAGTATTTATGTATGCCATGTTGCTGTTGATGTTAAATTGTATATCAAGAACAAGTGCTAAATTATATATGGAGAACATCCACATATGACTGGGAAGAGGCGGAGATATTTGTTGTCATCTTAACAACTCAAACACTAGCTAGCAGTTGACATTGAACTGTGCTGTGGCGGTCCTCTGCAAACCACAGAATTTTAAAATTGCCTATGCAGTGCAAAAAAAACATTGAGAGTCTGGGGAAAAAAAGGTTTGGTGGCAAATACTTAAAGTAAACCATCCCTTTTTGTCATGTCATCACTTCAGTGTGTCACTAGTACAGTAAAGGTGGGGGAAAGCACAACTAGCATGGGAATCCTTCGATATAGATCCTTAATGTGGACAAGTTATCAAACCTTTCTAAGCATGAGGTTGGCTGCGTAGCATGGGAGAAAACTGCAGTTCTGTTAAGAGAGCGAGATTGATTTGCAGTGTATTTATATGCAGGGGTAAGCTGCGCATCATGTCTCCTGTGCTATTTCAGATTTACCGCAGAGGCAGGTATTTTCTTAGTAGAAATGTTGTTGGTCTCATGATACAGGATGCTGGCAGATCAGGAGCTCACCAGGAAGCAATTATCTTCTATAATACTGTGCTATGTGATTTACCAGTGGCACTACGACTGGTTTTACTCACTCCTAATGGTTTTCCGGTGGATGTGTTAGCAACAGCCTGAGGACTAGGCAGCGTAGAAGCGTTTTATATAGAAGTGGGCTGTAGTCAGTCTGGAGTTCGATTTTTAGCGACAAGGGTCCGATGGCTTTATTTGGCCTATATCCATATTAGGCCAGGCAAGTGAGATAGTCTCTCATTTTAGGAGAGAATGACGTTTGGTGGGATTGCAATGGGTCTAGTGGACTATAACCCTCTGAAGTCTCCCAGGCCAGGATTAGACTGCCTTAAAACATGAAGTGATGATTGGTGCTCTTCAAAATGTCCAAGATTGCTGTCTGTCTTTGTACATGATCAATCACTTCTGGAAGTGAGGGGCTTGCTTTGGCTTGCTGACGCTTCAATTCCTCCTCTTACTGAAGCAATAATTAAAGCAAAAGAGGTGATCCTCCATAATCTTCTCCATGTACACAGTGCCTCACCGCACAGCTTTTGGGGCATTGGGGAGCAGCTGAATATAGCTGCAGCAATGTGATCCAAGCAGATTTTTTTGCTGGCTAGCAGGATGCAAATTTGCCTCCTTCCAGGCAACTGTTAAGTTTACATGTGAGTGCTTGTGCTTTCATAACCAGGCTTTTGACCTGGTGCTGTTCCATGTGTACGGCTGAGGCCCGGTGGTCTGACAGTCTAGAAGCCAGCAAGGTCTGGGAATGTCATGCAGTCCAAAAAACTGACTCAGTTGCGTAACCTCGGGCAAGTCACGCAACCTTCATTGTGAGTCAAGCCAGAAAATTGCCTGTGCAATGCAAGTTAGGTACTGCTTCTGAGTCTAGTCCTTCAGGAGAAACCAAACATGCAACAAAAAAACCCCGAAAGGTACTGTTGTGTTAATCTTTGTCATTTAATTGTCCCTTCTTTGGGTCAGAAAGCTCTGTAATTACATGCTCATATCTTTCCTCTCCTATATATATAACAAAAAAACCCCGAAAGGTACTGTTGTGTTAATCTTTGTCATTTAATTGTCCCTTCTTTGGGTCAGAAAGCTCTGTAATTACATGCTCATATCTTTCCTCTCCTATATATATATTTTTTTTTTTTTTTTTTTTTTTTTTTTTAATAAAGAGGATGAGAAACGCAGGAAAAGGGAAAATCAGATGCATCTTGAACGCTTACGGGCACTCCTCATCATAACTTTCATAGTGCTGATGTTTCGATTCACGGTCAGCGACAGCAGAGAAGGGACCAACATTTCCTGGAACTACTTTGTGAATGAGATGCTGGCAAAGGGAGAGGTCCAGAGAATTGAAGTGGTGCCGGAGAGCGATATTGTGGAAATTTATCTGCACCCAGGAGGGACTCCGCATGGACAAGTTGTGAGTGACTTTCTACAATTGGAATGAATAATCTTAGATTATACTGTTGAGTTAGTGAATACATGTTGGGTAAAACTCTAGTTGGTAAATTTGCTCTTCATTATATTTTCTCTTTCTTGTATTGAAAGTTCAGGGGAGGACTTCTGTTACTCATATCAACTTGGAAACTAAGACTTTTATTTTAAATTGTAAAAATAATAATGGCCTGGGAGAAAATCTTATAAGTGTCCAAAAAGCTGGAAAAATTCAATAGTTTTTTTTCTTACTGGCTCAGTCTGATATGTGAGAAGGTGCCTAGAAGATTGTAAACTCTTACTACTAGCTCTTGTTTCAAAAATTTTCTCCTATTTGGATTTTAGTTTCAGGTGTTCTGTCAAACTCCATCAGACTTCCTTCCTAAATAATCTTCCAAAATGAAAACAAAGCAAAGTTTGATCGCATGCTTACTTCAGGAGTTGCCACTAAGAATCATTACAAACTGGCTTGAGAAATTAAAATACTGTTCTGGGATACATCCTGTTTTGTTCAGTGATTTAAAACTGCTGGATGAAATTAATTTCTGACAAAGATACAGAAACAAGATCCAAGAAGTCTTGAGTGGGGCACAAGATACCTCCATCCCAATGATGTAGTTTTCCACATGTAGTACCTTGGGCTCAGACAAAATTTTGTATCAGCATAACTGGGTTTATAATGCAGACTCCGTCCTTCAGCTTGCCTACCGTGTTGTTGCGCCTCCTTGTTTCTAGAGAGCTGAGACTTAGTTCCTGACTTCTGTGCTTTCGTAAGGTGCTGAAAAGATTAGAGGTGTGCTGGAGCTGTGGTGTCAGTCATCTGCTCACGCGTTCATTGGTGCAGTATCAAAGGGTGTAACATAAAGCTAACTTTTATTTGACTTGTGCACTTCTGCGCCTTGCCATATCCTTATGCTACAATACTTATATGCTGCTTTTGATTGCATGTCCCCAGAACGTTACCCTGTTGTACACAATGCGGGTGGCAAACATTGACAAATTTGAAGAGAAGCTGAGAGCTGCGGAGGATGAGCTGAATATTGATGAGAGAGAGAGAATCCCTGTTTCCTACAAACATCCTGGATTTTATGGAAAGTATGATATAAATTTGTGCTTACTGTTGGTCTTGTATTGGTGACAACATCCCTCGCTTGGAGAGGAAAGTGCCTTTCAACTAAATGTTGTTGTAAATATAGAACGAAAAAGTGGTCCCAGTTTTGGACCACTTGCCCCATCTTTCCGAAATAGGCATGCTCTAGATGTACCTTAACATTTCAAAAGTGAGGGTCCCGAGGAGGTGTCTGTAACTGCAGTGTGCAGCAGACCGAAATATTTCGGGTCGGTGTCAGCAAGCCTGAGGAAAGTCTGTCAGTTGTGTGTTCTCGCACAGCTGAGCACTTTCTGTCCTTATAGTCAATTCTTCAAGCGCAGAGTGTGATGGAAATCCTGACTCAATAAGTGATGTTACGCCCTGGTCTGTGGAGAATGCTGGTGGTGCAGTAAGCCTTTCCCCATAAGTGCTTCGGGGAAGGCCCATGGTGGTTGTTCAGTCTGTAAAAATAAACACCTAGTTTTGGCCTGCTTCTCCAACAGCTGTAGATCAGAGGACAGCCTGTGCTGGCGCTCGCTCCAGCTGTGAGCCACACACTGAGCAGAGCAGCTTTGATGCTTGCATACAAAATCTCAGTGAGAAGAGTACTTCTGTTGAACTTACAGCCCCTTTCTGTGACCTGAAACCAAGATCCTCTGCTTAAAAAACAAAATAACGCTCAAAGCTTTTAATTCTGAAATGAGCTATAATGAGCAAGAGGAGGGAAGATCTGTCAGAAGACTCTAGGGCACTGGTGAGATTTTATTCTGTGCTTGTGTATGATGTATTCATGTTTTGTGGTCACTTGCCGCTGAGGTGACTTCTTTGCCCGTATATTAAGACCAGCAGCTTGGTTTTTGCAAAACAGGATTTATGAGGTCCAGAGTACAAAACGGGCTGTGAAGCTCACTCAGTAGGCTTGAACAAGTCCACCTCCATCACCGACGGCCATTACACTGCTGTAGAAAGATGCTTTCCTTAAGTGTGGGGAGAGACTCCAGCATTTGAAGAGCTCTCAACTAATTGCTTATTCTAAAGTACGAACAGAGAGGTGTAGTGCAGCAGGCCTGCCTGCCAAGTAAAGCAATCCTGATCTCTGACAACCAGGAAAGATAGCATCATGCCGCTGTTGTTATCACCGAGGTGGCCTGGTGCACCACGCAGAGCGTGCCGTCTCCTTTTAGTAGCTCGTAGGGTTTGGAGCGCAGTGACTTTCCCACTGTAGGTGGGGATGGCCAGTGTGTGTAATTCTTCCTCCCAGATGCCTTACTGAAAACATGAAACAAACATTATGTTCGTGTATGAATGGGTACCTGGATTGGATTTTGTCTAGTTGTCCTCTGAACAACATTTGCACATTTTTAATACGCAGTTTATATGAAGATAAACTTTTTTAATTGATCATGCAGTATAAGACCTTTAGTTGAAATTCAGAACTTGGCAATTTTTTCAAACATATATAACAGGAAGAGTAGACTGAACAATTACTCAGCCACCAACACAAGCTGCTTCCCCTGAAAAGACTTTTTTTTTTTTTTAAGAGATATTGCAGGGTCTGAAGTCTCTCAGGAGACTTGATGAATGTCTGGAGAATTCAGAGTCTCAGCCTGGAGTTTGAACTGCGAGGTGCAGAGCACTTGCAGCTTGGATTCAGTTTACTCTGAGATGTGGGCGCTCAATGTGTTTCAGAATTAATCCTGTTTGCGTAGTTGACAAATTGAAAGTGACTTTCAGTTTCTAGTGTTGCCTACAATCTCTCACCGAGAAGAAACAAACGCAGCTGGGTATATAGCACGTGCTGGTCCCCTTGCTTCAGTAAATCATCCCTCTGTGAGAGATGGAACACAGATTCCTAGTCTGAAGACAAGGCAGAAGTGTGGTGAGACCAGATGATTTCACAGGCATGTGAGGCAGAACAGGGTCCCACAAATCTCAACCTGTCATCTGACATATGATCAGTTTTCCTCCTACTGGAAGCATCCTTTTTTTAGAGCTCACAGGATATTTGTCCTCAGCGTGTTTGTCTTGTAACTGTATTAGACCTGCAGGGTCATCTCTGCTCCACATCTCCTTCCTAACGCAATTGGTATTGCAAAGGCTCCAGAAAATTGATGAAGTTAATTGCTGTAGCACTTCCTTCTGGCATAAAGGACTTCTGGGAGACATGGCCAGGGAGGGCCAACCAGGCTAGGTAGAGCAGCCTCTTAATGGGAGACCCGCACTGGGATTTCCGCCAGGATTAGGGGAGGTGGAATCTCCCTAGTGTTGCTGGATGCAGGTCTTCTGCAATGAGCTCCCTTTGGATGAACTACCAGCCCCACCGGATTCTGCTCCGGGTGTGATTTGGCTGCCTGAAGGTCCCATTTGTTTTATAAGTAGGAATGCCTCTGAAGGGGATGATGAGGTTGAATTTCTTCCACAGCTGTAAGCAGTATCTGCCAGTGTCCTCTGCTTAACTTTTTAGGTTATGTAATTGTTGGGGTTTTGTATTTTTTTAATATATATATTTTATATGTATATAAACTCTGTAAAGGTTCCATTTTCTCAGTTGTGTCTGCTCATTGCTGTACTTGCAGCCTAAGTGTCAGGACCTTTAAAATACTGAAAATATTTATGTCAAGTAATATTTACCAAGTTGTGGCTGAACACCTCAATTTGTACCCGTCTTGCTTTTGTCCTTTCAGTGATATCATTTCCCTGATAGTGACACTTGTGGCTGTGTCCATGTTGTGGAGCATCTTCCGCCTTATTAGGGTTGCAGGCCGGGTAGGAGGATTCAACGCCTTTGTGAGTATCCTGGATCTTGATGTTGTTTTGCAGCCTGTGGGTAGTCTTGTCTTCTGCTGGCCTAATCCCCTCCCCTTTTCCCAGCAAAGTCAGTGCAGAATGAGAATTAACTGGTGCCAAGGACTCTCCAGTCTTGACACATCTTGCATCTTTTCCTGTCCTGATCATCTGACTAGATTGTACAGTAACTGGCCTTAGCTGAGGCGCTTTCTCTGCTATTTTCAAAGCTTGTTAATGAGTTGCAGCTGCAGATGGTGTTTTTCACTGGGCCCTGCCAATATGCCTCCCATACAGCCAGAAGTAGGAATTGCTGCTTTCTGCAAAATGAGTTCTCAATTTATAAAATATGTTCAGATTCTGGATTTCATTATGTGTTGGCCTGTTCCGCTCATGCCACATGCTTCACTTGCAACATCAGTCAAATCTTCTCCTCCTGTCTTCCACCCTTGCCTGGATCAGCTGATGAAGCTCTGTAGAAATCAGCCTGGGGTGCACTGCCATTGACCGCAGGGATGTGAGGATGGAAATCTGGTGAATTCAGCCCCTTGTTAGATTTCCCACTCAGTCTCCTCTGCAGTTCTTTTCTGGCTTTGGGATTTTCTTCACACAAAGGGATACAGCTGCTCAGAGGAGGAGAATATTTTAAAGAAGTGTTGAGCAATGAGGGCCTTGAGGACTAGATTCTGTCCTTGCATAAGTGGGGACAGCTAGGCCCCACATGTTTAACTCTTCGTTTGGATACGCTGATGTTTCTGAGGCCTGAGAAGCTATAAACTTTCATCTCAAAGAAGAAAAAAAATCCTGAGTAGCTGTATTCTATAGAACATAATAAGCAGTTACAAGTAGGGCTTTAACTAAATTCTTGTTTTGGTTGTCACTATGGCTTAACAGACAGCAGGAGACTGAAATGGGGTGTCTGTTAAATTTGAGAACCTATAGTTCTGTCCTGGGTTGTGTTGCAGTAGAAACCAGTGGCAGCATCAGCCAGTGGTGCAAAGTGTCTGTTTATATGCATTTACAAGACAGTATTGGTAATTATTTACCACTGACAGTTACTTACCATCAATACATACTCCTCAAAACTGTACCTATCCCATATGTATTGAGGATCAGAGCATTTAGAATAGGGGAGAAGATCCCAAATAAGGTTTTGGGCATTCTGCATGGTTTTAATAAGTATCGCTGCCTGCCCTACATGGAGTTTATGCTGGATTGTGTTGGGACTATTCCTGCGGGTTTATTCTGGCTCTTCCCAACAAAATGTGGATAAGTAAACTTTGAGTCAACAATCCTGCTGTGATGTATTCCCAAAACAAAAGTTAGTAAAGCACCAATGTGTTGGTGGGCATTTTAGTTTTGTTTTTTAGGGGCAGCTTCAACCTGTGCTGTCTCCCAAAGTATAGCAAACAGCCTCTCCAGACTGTTGCCTTGTCCAGAGTCAGAGCACGTCTTCAGTACTTGTGCTGCCTTCCACAGAACCAGTTGAAAATGGCTCGTTTCACCATTGTGGATGGGAAATCTGGAAAAGGGATTAGCTTCAAGGATGTAGCGGGAATGCATGAGGCGAAAATGGAAGTCAAAGAATTTGTGGACTATTTAAAGGTATGTAAAAGTAGAGCAGAGAGAGTGCTTGCTACCTGTCTTCTGGGATAGATGGCTGACCTGGGGAGGGGGTTATATTCTTCTCTTCATCCTTCGTGATACTGAGCAGCCTTTGTTTAAATAAACTGACAGCTTTTTATGCTGGGATCAGCATGACTCAATCTCTGTATTTCCAGTTCCATAACAGGAATGCAGATGTGGCTGCACCCGTTAGGAACTCAGAGTTGCTCAGGCTGAACACAGTATCGGGAAGCTCTGGGAGACCGTATTCTTGTGCAGGTGCTTCATGTGACCTGTGGATCTGACAGAGTTGTGCTGTTCTTGCAGAATCCCGAACGCTACCTTCAGCTTGGGGCTAAAGTGCCCAAGGGTGCCTTGTTACTTGGACCACCAGGCTGTGGGAAGACGTTGCTGGCGAAGGCTGTGGCTACAGAAGCGCAAGTGCCGTTTTTGGCCATGGCGGGCTCTGAGTTTGTGGAGGTGATAGGAGGTAAGCTTCTTGAGAGGAAGAGTGTGGAGATAACTTGGTCTGTTGCAGAGTTGGAGGGGTACTGGCTGGGCCTCTTGCAAAGGGGACAGCGTTTTAGCCTGTCTTTGCATGGGGAGGATGACTTAGATAATTCTACTGAAAATATAAAAGGTTTTCAGCGATGGAGAGTGCTTAATTATGTAGTACCTAAAATGCATGCCTTGGAATTGCTAGTTGTTTCTTTCTGACAGTGTGCAGCCATGGTTCTTCACCTGAAAGCATTATCTCTCACTTCCCTGTTCCTATTATTAAAGCCACTGACTGAGGCTTCCTTCCGTGTATGAGTGCTAATGGATTTTCTGCTGCTCCCTGCTGATGGGGAAAGCATGGCCTCTTTGTGCCTTGGGATTTCCATCTTTCTCCTTTTCTTCCTTCCTCCTAGATCTCTTGAGACCTGAAAAGGGTCAGTGTGCAGAAAAATGCTGAATATTTATGCTTCTGACCTGTGGAAGGAACAGGAGTTTGTATTAGGAGCTGGGAGCAGAGCTCCTCTTACAGCAGCTGTAGGAGTCCCTGCAGTTTTGGGAGCTCAGTTAAAAGCCAGCACGCTCCAGAAGGAGCTGTGCCTAAGGACCAACCACATGAGTTCTGTGGCTATTCCTTTGTGCCGGGAGTGTTGAGAGAGGGACTGTCACATACTGAGGGTTTGTCCAGTGTCTCGTTGAGGGCCAGTAATGCTGCTCTCCAGCTTTTCTAACAATTTTAGCTACAAGGCTTGTTTCTGCTTCCCTTCCCCTATAGGTCTTGGAGCTGCCAGAGTTCGGAGCCTCTTCAGAGAAGCCCAGGCTCGTGCACCTTGCATCGTGTACATTGATGAAATCGATGCTGTGGGCAAGAAGCGCTCCACCAATATATCTGGTTTTGCCAATGCTGAGGAGGAGCAGACCTTAAACCAGCTGCTGGTGGAAATGGACGGTCAGTATTTCTCTCTGCCTCTCAGCAGTTGGGCCCTTATCACCTCAGAGATCCGAGTTGTTGGCCTGTACATCTTTTTCTTGGTTGAACTTTGCCATGCCTCTCCAGCGTTCTCCTCTTGTGAAGTCATTACAATTGCATTGAAATAAATCTCATTCTCCTCTTCCCCAGGACAAGGCTAGCTTGCACTGCACAGTCTGTTCAGGACTAAGCCCAGAACTACAGCTTGGTCATGGCCTTGCTAAAAGACCATCTGTACGACAAGCGATAGCTGTGTTTCGGGCTGCTGCTTAGTGAAGGGGTTGTGGCCCTGAAACTCAGGATGTTTTTTTCCTATGTGGACACCGGTGTGGCCTTGGCTGGCCTTGCTCTGGTTTTAGAGGTCGTCATATCACTCGCTTGAAGTGGGTCCTTTCTCTGTTCTTTCTCCCCTTCACCAGCTGCTGCAGTGAATACAGAGGAAAAGCAGCAGCTGCTGTTCAGCACAGGGTTCGTGCAAGTTGTGTGCCCAGTACTTGCTTCATGCTGGGCCAGGTTTTCCTGCAGAACCCTTGGGAATCTCCTCAAGCACCACTCTGAACCCATGTACCCCATCGTTAGTTCGTGTTTCTGAAGGCACTGTAGCATATCTCTCTGCATGTCCCTGGAGAGTTAGGCAGGACTACTCCAGAGCTGGTGGTGCCTAAGGAAGTAATTGGGCTTAAGACAGATCTCTGAGCATGTGCTGTGACTAAGTTGTGGAGATAATCCTCTTGAAATCTAGACATTTATATAGGCCTTTAAGGGGTTGGGGTTAAACCTAGTACATTTTAAAACCCTGCAGCCAACTGGTTTTGTGACTGAAGACCCTGAGTCAGAAGAGAGCGTAGTGTCACATCCAGAGTGAATTTGCACCAACAGCCACGTGAGCATCCACCTGCTAATAAAATCAACAGAAAATGTGCATTAGAGATCATGGCTGGCAGAGGGCAGCAACCCCAAAGACTCTTACTGTAGTAAATGGCTTCAGTTCAGGAGTATGTTTTCCCACCGGCAATTGGAGAAGAATTATTTACAGTGCTGGGGAACCAAAAGAAAATGAATTGGCAGCCAGGGCGCTGCTGTCTGTAGAGAGTAACATTCAGGTCCAGCTGGCCATTAAATGTCATTGAATACTTGCTGTATTCCGTTTAAGACAGGTAGGGGGTTAAAGCCTGTTAAGGTTTAAAGTCTAGTTGTCCCAGAGAGACATAAGCAATGAAATATGTCAATTCTCCCATCCTTTGACTTATTCTCAAGTTTTCTGCCTGACTATAGGATCCCTACCTAAACTGAGAGAGAGAAGCTTTGCAAACAAGCCCTGGTTTGATGCCACGCTTCTGGATGGTTTCTGGCTGTGCTGCATCTGGAATTGGCCCTTTTCTCAGACGCTTTCACACATGTGCCAAAAGGAATGTTCCTTTGGCTGTTCTTAGTCATAACTCTGTCACGGCCTGCAGCACTGACCCAGCTTGCGATGTTTCTGTTGCTAAATCTTGTTCTTGCAGGGCAGGGTAAGGAATAACTAACTACCTGCCCATCAAGGAGTGTTTGTGTCAGCCTGCTGTTCCTTGGGACAGTCCCTTGACTGTAACTGTGACGCTTGTTGTCTCATCACGCTCTTCATGTGAAAAACTAAAAGCCATCCTGCACATAAAGCATCCCCCTTTCTCTAGACCTTGGGGGTTAAAACTGCTTGGATTAACTAAATGTTTGCAGTGAAATGGGGATGCAGCCCTAAAGTAGAGCACGTCCTGCAGTTCAGCTGCCTTCTGGAGATTGCTCTGGAGTCAATCCTCCCTTCTCAAGGAGAGAAGCTGGGACTTGTAAAAATGCTTTCAGCAAAGGGTAGGTGTTCTTTCATACTGCACGCAAGATGATCTATAATTCTGGATCTCTGCCCTTGCTGCAGAAGGAGGAGAAACTGTAAGCAGGAGTGCAGCATGGCACAGAGTAGGGTGGTCCTGCCGTACAGAGACCCCTCTCTGCTTCAGCACAGGTACCATGAGGTTTTTGAAGGAGAGGAATGAGCTTCGAGTAGGACGTCCTAAATAGCCAGACAGAAATCTGGTTATCAGATACTAACACCCTTGAAACACATAATGCTGTGTAGATACTAGAAATCACCTTAAATATGTGTATGCAATTCCCTGGGGCTTTGCACAGGCACTAACTTAGGCAACTTGGCCAAGTACATAAATATACTTGGATGAACATAACTGTTTGCAGCTGTATCTGTATAGTAGATGGTCTCGACGGAAGAGGACAGTAGTAACACACAGAACAGCAATCCTGGCTTGTTGGGTTTTTTTTTCTTCTGACAGTTTTAGGGTGAGCTGGCAACAGGTTAATTCTGAATTAAATGGAGGCCCATCTGTCTGTACAGGAATATGTAGTCAGTACAATCCACATCTCAATAGCAAAAATGAAAATGTCTGATTTCCTCCAGTCTCTGGAAACTAGGCACGGTTTCTACAGGGTTTTCTTGGTGAGTCTCAGTTTGGACATTAGGGTACAACTCTATTGGAAAGTGAATTTAGAAGGTTAAGATTATCTTCAATATGTACTTTAATAGTCCCTTGTTTGCTGTGCACTGCCTAGTTTATTTTCAAGTTTATATTGTCTCATTATTTACTGTCTCATACAGATCATGTACTAAGTCCCTCATTTTGCCAAGTGCTTTATCAAACAAGAAAATAGCCCAAGGAGTTCACAATGTCAAACTGGGAGAGAGCTGACAAGGACTGTCAGGCCAGTACAAGAACCAGGGACTTGCTGTTGGCTTGTACTCCTAAGCGGTGATCTTGGCACTTGTTACCGAACTGTTATCTAACTGAGCATGGTACTTAATCGAACGCTGAAGTGCTACGTGCATCGTGGCAAAATAGTTTTCAGGGTGACAGTGAGTAAGGTTTTTTAGGAGGTTAACAGTTCTACCCAAGCACAAGCGGAGGAGTGGTGTGTGTTTGTAACAAGGAAGCCTTGAAATGGAAGGTTGAGAGCTCTGTTTTAGCTGTCTTTAGCTTAAATTGATGGTTGAAGTTCTGCAAGGCAACACCATGGAGCCAAGTTAGCTATTAATTTGAAAAAAAAAATCCTGCACAAAAGTAGATCTGTGAGTCATCAGCAGTGATTGTTGAATTTGTGTGCTCGAATGAGATTACTCAGACGTAAGGTAGAGGAAGAAAAGGAGGGTCAGGGCTGTATGGAACCTGCTCTGCAGGCTGGAGGAAGGATGAGGACACCAAGAAAAAAGCCATTATGCTAAGCTGCATGGGATGAAAATGCAGTTTGATACTCAGTAATTCTGGTACACAGGTTTTGGAGTAATTGTTGTGCTCTTCCTACAAGCAACCTTGGTTTCCTTCGCTCTGACAGCTTGCTTTGTGTTCTGGAAGCACCAGGAGTCTGGCAGGAGAAGGGGAGGGACTGGAGGGAGCCTGTACGTACAAAAGGTGTTTTTAAAACCAGAGTGACACATGTACTCCAGTCTTTGTCAAAACAGGTGCCTGGTTTGAATAGTGAATCTTCCCTCACAAACCGCAAACAAGCGGAAGAGGAATGTGACCCAAATATCTCCTCTGTTCTGGTTGCATTTGAGAGGAGCTTGACAGTCCTGGGCTGATCTGTGTTTTGTGAATGAAAACGCAGGACATCTTCTGGTAGCACCTGAAAGTCCTCAGGCAAGATCTCTCCCTGTGCTGTATCCAAGTTTGTGACCCCAAGGCTTCCCTCACGCAGGTTGACCCTGTTTTGATGATACTGTTCACAGATGATGTCCAAAAGGCTTTTGAACAACTGGCTAGAGAATTACACGGTGTAATAATGCAGATGAGATGCTCGTCAAAGTAACGTGCTCAGCGTCAGTGGGGAGCACAGCACTTGCCAGTTCAAGTGGACCCTTTTTTTTCCCTTTCCTTTTTGAAGTGGCTTTGTCTGTAAACACTGTAGATACGAAGGCTCTCTTTAAGCTGAATTTTCAGAGCTGTTTTTCATTTGTTGATGTGGCTGAGGTGGTGTTTTTGTAGGCTGTTCCTCTGGCTGATCTTTGCCTGTGGAAGCCAAAGCCTGTGACGTGCCGGGGGATGTTGCATTGGGAACAGTAATGTGAATCGGAGGCTGCAGTTGTAGGTTTCTTGGAGCAGTGTTTCTCACCACTTGGATACAGGCTTGAGAGCAAGTGGAGCAGAAGCTGATGCGAGGAGGATGCTCTCAGTGGTTCCGTTTTTTTTATGTTTGTTCTAATAGTCAGACCTATTTTAAGAGAGTCTTCCCAGCTGCAAAGCAGATAATGTACTGTACCATCTAATCCTGCCGTGTGAATGAAGCTTGCTATCCCCCAAGTGCCTGCCAGTCTCTCTGCTTATTTATCACACTCCAAAGTGCAGTGTAATACATGCCTGAAGAATGGCCGGCTTCATCGTCTCCGGGAGCTTATTTAGACAGCATCCTGCAGGGAGGAAGAGCTGAGGTTTGCTACAGCGCAAGCTGACAGAGCCGGTCCCCTGACTTACCTGTAACCTTAATCTCTCTGCTGAGCTCTTGTACGCTGACACATTTGGCAGCTCTTCTGGTGGAGCTGGAGAGAGCTGAAACTCGCCCAGCTTACGTGCATAAAGCTGCCTCTCTGCAGCGTGTGACTTGGCAGCGAAGGAAGCGCATGGGACTAACGCGTCCTTTCCCTGGGAAGGCTGCTGCGTGCCAGGGCTGTTGAATCTGCTGTAAGCAGGTGACTCATACCCAGGGGCCTGTGGGCACCTGGTGGAATGTAATAAATAAGCAGTGTGGTTCAGTGATTCAACGTGATCCCTGGCTCCCCACCCAAGCAGCGCAACCGCCTGCCCCTTTCTGCCCTCCTCCAGCTGCTACTGCTCTGGCTTCCCCAGGAAGCCCTGTCTGCCTTTGATGCCTCCATACTGCCGGCTGCTCTCGCAAAGCCTGCAAATCCTGAATGCTCCCTTCATCTTTAAGACCTGGAGACAAAACCTTCTCTGACTGTGGCTTGAGCCAGTGTGTGCTAATCACTGCAAAGCTGTTTGGTTGCGTTTTGTGTCTGCTTACGTGTCTGTGGTGCAAGTTCTGCAGGGTTGGTCTTTGCACTGGTCTGCAGTACGCCTGGGTGCCTTCTGAGCGATAAAAGATAAGGGAGAAGACAAAGATCAAATCGTGCTGTAACGTGCCCCTTGCTGGGTGGCAAGGCTATGTCCTCTCTTTCTGCCTTAACCTGAGCTGGTCAGAAGAAAGCCTGTCCCTTCCCTGGTGATCCTGGCGGCCAGTCTGTCATTGAAGGCTAAAAGTAAATGAAAGCTGAAAGGGCTTTCCACAGAAATATTTCAGAGGGAAAGGCTGTTTCAGCTAGCAAACTTCGTACAACCTGGAGCTAAAGGAGAAGGAATTGACTTAAGCCTAAGAAGGCATCTCCTAACTCATCCGAATAGAGAGATTCTGTTCTGGGTTCTAGTTGGAGCAATTTCCAAATGTGTCAAAAGGAAGAGGAGGAAAAAACCAAAAAAAAAAACCCAAAAAAACCCCCCAAAAACTACCAACATTTTAAGCCAAAGCTTATTACGTAAATGAAAAGGGAATTTCAGAGTATCCGCGATGACCAGACTGGCCTGGGTGACTTGGGAGGTTCCTTCCTGTCTTGTGCTCCTAGCTGAAGAGGGCACTTTCTCAGCCTCAGCTGCCCCAAAGGGTGCTGTAAACACCCTCTGGCTTTGTGATAAAACAGTGTAAAACATTCTGTGCATCCTGCCCTGCCCTGTCCCTTTGTATGCTTGCAGTGCAGCATCTGGGATGGTGAAAACCTTCATCTTTTGTTTTGGTTTGTTTTTTTACAGGAATGGGGACGACAGATCATGTCATAGTGCTGGCTTCCACCAACCGTGCCGATGTCTTGGATAACGCCTTGATGAGACCTGGGAGGCTTGACAGGCACATCTTTATTGATCTTCCAACACTCCAGGTATGTTCCACTTACTGCCCTGTCTTTACTGTAATGCTCACGACTCAGGTGTCCCAGTCCTTGCTGGTGACTCACTGGCCTGGCAGAGGCTGAGCTTGGAGAAGGTAGAGATGGTGAGCTTTCTGTTTGCCTTTATTTGTATTTATGTGCTCTAAACCAAGGATTTGCTAATGCAGTTGCTTGTTTCTCTGAAATGACAACTCACTGGTTTTAAGTGTCTCCGCTCTGAGAGCTTTGACGGTGAATTCTTGAGTGAGGTTCTCTTTGCCGTGCAGATGCAGAACTATGCTTGTGTCTTCTCTCCCGGAAACTGGGAACCTCCTAATGGGCAAGTTGGCTTGTGAGAGAACTTAAATTATCATGTGCCTTGAGCACCTTGTGTTCTTAAGGTTTATTGTCCTCACTATCCTTGTAAAGCTCCTCATTTTCCTTTAGGCAGCCTGTTAAGTTACTTTCTCCTTCTGAATGCTTTTTAAATCCTCCTACTAGGAGTCTTCCGTGTCCGTTGTGTTGACATTTGTAGCAGAGGGAATAGGCTCAGCTGCAGTAAAGATCTGTCTGCTCTGCCAGCACGAGCTCTTCTTCTCCCATCTGTGCTTCACTGGCGTCCTCAGAGTTTTCAGTTAAAATACCTTAAATGCCTGATACAATCTGGCACCGGAAGCATGAACTGTGCAGCTGCCCTGAAAGAGGAAGGGGAAAAACCCTGGCAACTGAGCCCATTGTTTTAATCAGGATCTCCTGGCCAGCTGAGTGAGTCGCTCCCTGGCTACTTGCCAGCCGTCATCTCACCCCCACCTTCGTCTGGGAAATGGTTGCAGGCTAAGTAGCTGGTGGATGGGGTTTTCGTTTGCGGTGCGTGAGGGAGCAGGTAGAGGCAGTCGGAGCTCCTTCTTGCAAGTGCTTTTATGGTGAGAGAAAAGTTAAGATGGATCAGAGTGAAAGTTAGGAGGGGAGAGTGGCCCTGAGAGAGAAAGCAGTGACTCATGGTAAGCCTCCATACATCTGTTGTGAATTTGAGAGCTGGGTGTTTATCAGGGCTCCTGTAGCACTAAAATGCTGTAAGGACAGCCCTGCCCTCTGGTGGCAATGTCACTGTCCCTGCTGCCAGAGGTCTGCTCCTCCCCTGCTCCCTACCCATGCATCGAAGCTGCCACGCTGTGGAGGCTTGCTGGGCTGAGGCATTCTGTTGTCTTTTCAGGAGAGAAGAGAGATCTTTGAGCAGCACCTGAAGGGTCTCAAACTGATCCAAGACGCCAACTTCTACTCTCAGCACCTTGCTGAACTGACTCCGGGCTTCAGCGGTACGACATGCTGTGTCCTTGTGGGGCTGCTCTGCCTGCTTCTAGGCTAGTTCTGCAGTTCAACCTGGACCTTCTTGGTTGCTTGGTTTTAACAGGGTATTTGGATCTGAATGGTTTTTTTTTCTTCAAGCCTTCTCCATCTCTATGGAAATAGTGGGAACTTAACCAGCTCCCTGGTGAATGGAGCTGTGATGAGCAATTGTTCATGGCTATTTTCAATCTTCTAAAACTTCTGGGACTAGCAGGGGGGGCGGGCTAGGGAAAATGCACTTTTATATTGCCTGGGTTCCTAATTCCTAAGGTGAGGAGGCACTGCTCATGCTCGTGTCCAGGCTGTTGTTGAGGATGAGGTGTTGCAGTTCAGGGGAAAGACTCTTAAGTTGATATGTTACTAGGAAAGCGATAAGAGGAATGAATAGCAATTACTTTGTTGGTCCGAGTAGAAATTGGACAGCTCTGCCTGGCTCCTGCATTGAGCCTGTTTCCAGGGTAGGTCCCTGGGAGTTTGAAACAGTGCTGAGCAAGGGGCTCCAGAGTTCCTGTTTATGTGGAGTTCCTGAAATATCCTTTCTGGCTTTCCCCTCTAAGAGGCCCCAGCATGCTGCCTTTTCATGACTTCTTTCAGCAGCCCCCCGCCACCATCACCCACCCACACAAACTCGGAACAGATGTTCTTTCTCTTCCACGCAGAGGTTGTGCGGTTGCTGTATGAACAGTGCGGTGGCCCATGCCAACCCAGACTGCCCACACCAATCCCCTGTTGCCGAGAGCCAGCCTTGGCTTTAGCCTGTTAATTGATTGCTGAACTCTGTCCTCTGTGTGGCAATGCAGGGTTCGTTGCCAAGGCAGTTGTATTGTTCAAGTCCAACATAAACACCATGGACTAGGTTTGCTCCCTGTTCCCAAGGAAAAAAACCGTGGAGGCTATTTGACTTCCTTAGGTCCTTCTCCAGATTTGTTCTTGCCTCTTCTGTCCTCGGAAATCTGTCACATAATAAATCCAATGTAATTCTTGTAAACTCTTGTCTACAGGAGCCGACATAGCAAATATATGTAACGAAGCTGCTCTTCATGCCGCTAGAGAAGGTCACAAATCCATTGATACTTTCAACTTCGAGTATGCTGTGGAAAGAGTCATTGCAGGTAAGTGACCCAGCTGCTTCTGTTGTTGTCTTACTTGTCTTTATCACGCTTCTTGAGAGAAGGCTCAAGTGGGTCGGTTACATTTGAGGAAGACAGATGGGTGCTAACTGTGCTCTGTCCTGAAGACCTTAGATGCCATAGTCACAGAAAGTTCTCTGAATGAGACCTCAGATGGTTCTATCATCCTGAATCTGCAGTATACTATATATATAATACTGCCTGAACCAGTAGCTCAGGGAAGATGGCCAGTAGCAAAATAGTGAAGAGGGGAATTCAAATCTGTATGGCTTATTTAGTTTTAAAAGGTTGGGGTTTTTTTAAAAAAATGAAGTGGAAGTGTCTCTGGGTTCTTTCTTGCTGCTCTGGACACCTGCTACATAAACATGAATAGCAAATAGGCTACACATCCTCAACAGCAAGAAATTAGAGATTTTTCTTTTTGGCCTCAAAGCACAGGCTTTGATGAATTTGCAGAATAAACTGCAAGACAGTAGAGTACTGTTCTTCCCTCTGAGAACATCCTGTCGGCCTTTCCCTGTTGCTTGTGCGATTGCCAGCAGAGGAATCTCTGGAGATTACCCTGTAGCAGTATATTATAGGGAGGGGGAGAAAAAAGAGTTCCCAGAACTCTAGACTTCACCTGAGGGATTTGAATCTGGTAGGTTTGGGTCTGAACTGCCCTGTAGCCAAGCCTTGGTTTTCATAATCAGACACTTAACTGCTTCCAGGCTGCAGTGTCATTGCCGGGGGGAGCCTGGGCAGACAGAATGGCATGCTGCGCTTTTCTTAACAGAGCGTGCAGAACGGGATGTTTGTACTGGGTCAGTTATCTCCTGATCCTGGCGTTTAGTCCTGAGTGTTTGCTTTATCAGAAAACGCCTAAACAATTCCTCATTTAAGAGAAGATTTGTTGAGAAAATTCCTGACTGTTTCACCTGCCTCTTAAAAACAAACCCTTTGGAGTTCTTTGGGTAACTGTGGCCGTGCTTACCCAAAGCCCAGGCTGTACTCAGCAGCTCCCAGGAGTGGACAGCAAGGCGACTCTGGTTGAAACACAGAAGTCCTCATCAGCCAAAGCAAACATGTGCTTTACTTTCCCATCTGCAGGATAGAAACCACCAAACTTGTAGGGATTCACTTGGCTTTTCTTTCTGAATTCCACCCTTGCCTTAGTTCCCCAGACGTGGAAGATAAGGCAAAAAGCAAGTAAGGCCACAGGGGATGCATGGCAGAAGGGATGTCTGGGATTAATGTGGTGGGGCATTGCAGGGCATGGGCTTCAGCAGTTTCACTGCTGACAAGCTGACTTGCTTCACTAAGGCTCTGTGGCGGGTAGGAGGCCATAAAGTCTTTTTGTTGCTTAATCGGACTCTTTCATATTAGCAGGACCTGGCTATTTTTTGTAGACTAAGACCAAAAGGCCCCAAACAACCCTTCAGGCCCATATATTAAATGTACCCTTGCCATGTAATAGGAACGCTTCTGGGTTTCACAATCCAGAGGGCATTTCAGTTGCTATAAAAGCTTTTCTTGAAAGAAAGAAGATATTTCTGTGCTTTCCATTATAGGCTTCTGGTTTTAATAAGAGTGGTGTGGAATCAAAAGAGAACTTTGCAAGTCCAGAGGCTCTGTCAGCCTTAAAGCTTTGTATTGCTGTAAGGGAGGAGTAAGAACTTTTCTCTGTGGTAGTCCCCATTGTGTTTTTAGTTTGGGAACAGAAAAGTAGTCAGTAAGTCAGGTCTCCTGGGAGTGAGGGAGGAAACCTGCTGGGCATACAGAGGCATTTAGGAGTTGTCTTTAGAAGATGCAGTGGAGCCTCTTTTCTTGGTGGGGTTTGTGTACACCAAGGCCAACAAAGATGCACCAGCGTTGTTTCCTGGGTTGTTTGTCTCATAAATGTGATAAGTACAGGCCTTCAGAGAACTTTCCTGCCTGGAGATTACGTTATGTAGGAAAAGAAATCATCTTTGTAGGCACGCTGTGTGCTATTGTGAAGAGCACGATTCCCCCCTTCCTTGGTGGGCTGACAGAGGAATACTTCCAGAATTTAAGTGCACGTGCGCGTGTGTTGTGTGTGTATATATATAGCATATATATGCATCTTTCTATAGAAAGAGACATACAGGCACATGGGAACGCACGGCTGAAGGCAGGGTAAGGGACTGACTGATGAAAATCAAGGCTATTGCAGTTAATCTGCTATTCCATCACCGTCATGCCTTGCGGGGCACAGTGGTTTCCAGGATCCCTGAGCAGTAATTTTACAAGATCTGTCACACTAATTTTGCTGTTTCCTTGTTTAATAAAGTTCTTGACTTTGTTTAAAAATTAATGTTAATAGAATGTTGTTTTCCAAGACATCAAGCAAGCTTGGTGTAATGCTGCTCTTGACTGCCTGCTCTACCCCCTACTGCTCCTGGCACTGTGCGGAGACATCGACTTTAAAGTACTGATACCTTTTTGCATTCAACATGCAGAGCTATAATGAGTGCTCGATATGCACTGTATTCTGCAGTTAACATATTTGCTATGTGCTAGAAGTTTTACTTGAATTCAGCATTTATTTTTTTTTTAAATCCTAATTGGACTTATTCTGCGTTACGGACTATTGAGTTGGAAAATAGACACTTTCAAAAATCACCTTTTTGGAGGAAGTATTAAGTGTGAGTTATGGCTTAATTTGCTAGTTCTCAGGAGCCTGGGAATATGCTCTTAAGGAGCATGCTGCGTCTAATCAGAGACATTTCCAGGGTCTGGAGAAAGATTTCTGTATATACTCTTGGTCTTCTGCTAATTTGAACACTCGTAATGCACAAGAATCTCAACTGGGACCTCTCATGTATAATGCAACATCTTGCTTCTCTCATGTTCTGCCTAAGGGACTGAAAGACCATACAGCAAAATCAGTATGATATTCTAGCTAGTCTCTGGTTTGGGTTTTGGTTTGTTGGAGGGTGTTTTTCCAAATGGTAGACCGACTTGTTAGATCTGTCCCTGGGCAGAGATAGAGCATAATGTGCCTTCGGCAGAGCTGGGAACAGAAGAGAGCTTTGTGTTCTAGAGCTGTGATCTAATCAAATGTTAAATTATTTGTCTAATGATTAAGGCTGCTGTAAGGAGGAGAGGGGGGAAAAGTTTCTGCCAGTGTTTTCAGGCAATCCAAGCATGGAATGCTTTCTACAGCAGGGACGGAAAGCACCTTCCGCAGCAATGTAGCTGAAGGACTTTTTACTGCCTCTTCCTAGACGGAGTGTGATCTGAAGGTTGCTGGCTGTTCAGCCACGGACTGCACTACCTTGTGGGCTTTGCTGTACAAGATTATTCCCTGCTGGTTATGCCTATTGCCTTATCTTATGGAACCCTTCTCTGCGTTCCCATAGGCACTGCTAAAAGAAGTAAGATCTTGTCACCAGAAGAGAGGAAGGTGGTAGCGTTTCATGAATCGGGTCATGCATTGGTTGGCTGGCTGCTGGAGCACACCGAGGCTGTGATGAAGGTAACTTCACTACCAGCTCTTGTGTAACGAAGCCTGGCCCTGGGTGGGAAGAGAGTCCTTTGGGGTTCCCCTGTCCAAAATGCATTGATTGTTTTGTAGTACTTGTGTTGGTTTGTGCTGTGTTACCCTGGCTTCCATGAGCTTGGAGCTGTGAATACTGCAGCAAAATAAATGGTAAATATAGAATCATGGAATCATTGAGGTTGGAAAGGACCTTTAAGATCGAGTCCAACCATTAACCTAACACTGCCAAGTCCACCACTAAACCACATCCCTGTGGAGAAATCCATTAATAGGCTCCACTGATGATAGTGATGGTGCAAAGCTGATTAACCAGCAATAGGAGAAGCCTTGCAGTTAAAAGCCAATGCTAAAGCTGTTTGGAGCAAGTGAGCCTCCTGATGCTGCTGCTCCCTTCATGCACTTCCTCCAGGTGCAGAGCGCTGCTCCGTGTGTTGTGCGTATATGAGCTCTTGCCCTGCTGTGGCTTT